TCATCAGTAAAAACAAAATGCCAGTTAATGTTTTAGTCCATTATCCTTCCATGTTAGGCAAGGAAGAAAGAGCTTGGAAAACAAATCTGTCACTTATTTGGGGAAAAGAAAAGGGAGCATGTTTAGGTTTGGTTAAAGTATAGTTATGCAACTTTTTTTTTCTTTTTTGAAAGGAAGAGAAAGAAAAAGATAAACGGAGGTGGAAGCTTGTTATCATTTTGGGAATTCCCATTCTCACATACATATCTCCGTAACCTCACATTGTTGATTAAAAACATGCAGAGACGTCTGGTACTAGGCTCCCAGGTCATAATTTTTTGATGCAATAGTGGACAAAATCACCCCCCTCCCTAATTTCTTCTTTGATAGTCATTGCCACACCCTGTGTGTATTCTTTCTGCTTGTGCAAGTAAAATTATGGTCCTGGAAATCTGGAATTTTAACCCTAGGATTCTCTAAAGAGCACTAGCAGTAAGAGACAACTGTTTTTCTGGAAGCTGTGAGATATTGATAAAATGTTAATCTCTGCTTCCTGTTGTTCCAACTTCTTACGTGAAAATGGATCAGCAACACTTAATCTCATGAGATAGGGATCAGAATGTATAGTGAGTAGTAGTGTATGCATTTTTTGAGGGAAGAAGCTGGTACACAGTTTATTCTATTCTCTTTGGAAAACATGAAGGTGAAATTAAAAAGTGGCTTGGAGAAGGAGAGCATTTCTTAGACTTCTGGCTGACCTAGCCTCCTGTCCCTCCTCTTGTTTTTCCACCTAATGCCTATGATTGAGCAACCTCTTGTTTCTTACCAAATTCTTTCTCACATTCTAATTCAGATTGTTTTTGGATCATATTTAATGATTATTTCCAAGTTTTTTTAATAGTGAAACACTGTGTCATTTGATTCTGGTCTACAAGAAAGCCAAGCAGAGAGGTTTCTCACACTGCTGGCCTCAGGGAATAGGGGACATGTCATCCCTGTCTGCGCTTGCCCACCCTTTTCACCCTGCCTGTATTCATGCCATGATTAGATTGTATTCCATTAATTAAACACAAAAATTATATATGTCTCAGATATAGGATATGAGTGGTGTACTCATTCAGATATTACAAAACAACTGAAACTGCTTTATCTCTATTTATAAAGGATTCTCTCCTCTTTTTAAGAGTCCCCGTGCCCCACTAGTTTAAGCCATTAAAACTCACAAATAAGCTTTGTAGCTCAATTAATGGCTATCCTCAAAGCTTCTGCTATCAAACCTGGCCATTTCGCCAGCACCTAATCTAATAAAACAGAAACATGGTAATTGGCGTACAACCGCTACCCTTCCCATTGGCTAATCAGGGGATATGCATATTAACTGTCAGCCAAGATGGCGGCCAGCAGCCAGGCAGCTGAGAACAGGAGGCTTGGTTACCCCAGTGATGAGGAAGCCAAGGTTCCCCGTCTGCAGCTGCGGGGGCTCAGGAACAGTGGAGCAGACAGGCCTCCTGGCCCGGGATCAGAGGAGCCCAGAGGCCTCAAGACCCCGGGATCAGCAGAGCCGAGAGGCCTCAAGACCCCGTTATCAGCGGAGCCGAGAGGCCTCCCAGCCGGGATCAGCGGAGCCGAGAGGCTTCAGGACCCCAGGATCAGCAGAGCCGCGAGGCCTCCCGGCCAGTTATCAGCGGAGCTGAGCGGGGTCCTGGCCCCAGATCAACGGAGCAAGGAGACCTCCCAGCACCGGGATCAGTGTGACAGGGGGCAGCGACCAAACCCCTGATTGCCCTGCAGCTCTGTGTGTGACAGAGGGTGTGGCCACAACCTCTCTATTGGCCGTGCTCTGTTCCTGACAGGAGGCAGCGCCCCAACCCCCTGATGGGCCCTGCTCTGTGCATGATGGGGGTGGCGCCGCAACCTCCCTATCGACCCTGCCTTGAGTGTGACAGGGGTCGGTGCCCCAACCCCCCAATCGGCCCTACCTTGAGCATGACTGAGGGTGGCATCGCAACCTCCCGATCCGCCGTGCTCTGTGCATGACAGGGGGCGGTGCCCCAACTCCCCAATCGGCCCTGCTCTGAGCCCGACCAGGGGCTGCACCTAGGGATGGGATTGGGCCTGCCCTCTGCCACCCAGGAGCAGCCTAAGCCAGCAGGTTGTTATCTCCTGAGGGGTCCCAGACTGCAAGAGGGCACAGGCCAGGCTGAAGGATCCCCCCACCCCCGCTGTGCAAAAATTTTTGTGCACCGGGCCTCTAGTTAAGTATATAATAGGCATACCCTCTATTGTTTCAGCCTTTCCTTTATCTTGATAGAATTCATTTTACCACTAAAAATTTTTCAGATTACCTTCTCTGTTTTGTTTCATCAACTGACACAATATAAACACTCATAGTTGGGTAAAAACAATAGCTTATACAATACTAGAGGCCTGACGCAAGAAATTCATGCAAGGGGCTTGGCCCTCGAAGCCCCAACTGCCTCACAGCCCCACAGCCCCATCCCTTGCCCACTGGTTGTTCTGGAAGGTTGTTCCAGAAGGTCATTCTGGAAGATATTCTGCCGTCCAGTCTAATTAGCATATTAACTCTTTATTATATAGGATATCTCTTATGTTTTCTTCTGGCTCTTTTAAAGTTTTTAAAGTTCAACTTTGGCCTAGGCCCAAATCTATGCCTTTTTTTTTTTTTTTAATGTTTATTGATTTTAGAGAGAGCAAGGGAAAAGGACAGAGAGATAGAACTATGGATGAGAGAGAAACATCCATCAGCTGCCTCCTGAATGCCCACAGCCTAGGCATTTGCCTGACTGGGAATCAAATCAGTGACCTCCTGGTTCATGGGTCAATGCTCAACCACTGAGCCACATCAGCCAGGCCCAAATCCATGCTTTTGTGGGAATCATACATTCTGCATGATTCTATTTGTAATGAAGCTTACAGATGGGAAAAAATAATTTATGGCTATAAAAGTCAGAATATATTATTACTCTCGGTGTCGAGATGAGTTTTGACCAAGAGTGGACATGTGAGAGTCTTTCTGGGATTCTGAAAATGTTTTCTAAGATTTAATCATAAGTAAAAATTTATCAAGCTGGGCCCTCCATATTTGTACACTTTATGGTATATAAAACCAAGTCCATAATAAATATTTTCATACATAACTAGCTGTTTATATAATAAAGAAACCACATATACATTTTCAACAAGAATACAAAGAACTACCTAGGAAGGAATACAAGAAATGTGTATATTCTATATGAGAAAAGAACTTTAAAATAGCACTGAAGCACCCACAAGAAGACTTGAAAAAATTAAAATTAAAAATAAAATATAAAACACACCCTGTTCTTGGATAGGGAGGTCAATCTTAAAAAGCTGACAATTCTCCCTATATTAATGTACACATTTGATGAGATTCCAGTAAGATACCCAACTTTTGTGTTAAATAGAGAAGCTGATTCAGGTGGAAAATTAAATAAGGACATAATTGAAAAACTCAGAAAAATATATGCAGTAAGTAGAAACTAGTTCTTTAAGATAGTAAAACACACTATAAAGTCTTGATTATTGAAAATGTAGTCCTGGTACATAAATACACAGAGAGACCAAAGAAACAGACTAAAAATTCCAGAAATGCCCACCAAAACATGTGTGAATATAGTATATGCTGCAGGGGGCAATATAGGTGAACTTTCAAATTAGTGTGCCAAAGATAAATTGCTCAGTAAAAGCTTCTGGGACAACTGGATAGATTTATATCTATACTTCACCTCTGTGTGGGATTACATTATTTTTTTTCTTCATTATTTACTGTCTTTCCTGTAAGAGAGATATATATTTCTTTACACTGCTATGTTTGTTTCCTTGTGGGAAGAGTCACCTTGCCCCCATCCCACAATTGAAGTCAGGTTTGGTCCCATGACTTGCTTTAGCCAATCCTATATAATAAAAGGGTAATATGCAAATTGACCCTAACAGCAGACCCACAGGGAATGACTGGTCACTATGACACACGCTGCCCACCAGCTCAATGCAGGAGCTGCCCCCTGGTAGTCAGTGTGCTCCCACAGGGGGAGCTCTGTTCAGCCACAAGCCAGGCTGCCGGCTGCCAGTACAGCAGTGGTGGTGGGAGCCTCTCCTGCCTCCTCAGCAGCGTTAAGGATGTCCGACTGCAGCTTAGGCCTGCTCCTCACTGGCAAGTGGATATCCCCTGAGGGCTCCCGGGCTGCCAGAGGGATGGCTGACTGCCAGCTTAGGCCCAATCCCCTGGTGAGCGAGTCAAAGCCACCAGGTGGTCATCCCCCAAGGGGTCCCAGACTGCAAGAGAGCACAGGCCGGGCTGAGGGACCCTCCTGAGTGCACAAATTTTTGTGCACTGGGCCTCTAGTAGAATTATAAATGACACACACCTTATCTGAGCTGAAGGTTTAGGAGCCATTGCTTGATTCAGCTATTCTCTTTCTCTCCTTTTATTAGAATAGTTTATCATCAATGATACTTCAAGGTACAGTCTGTTATTATCCCCATTTCTTTGTGAAAAAGCTGAAGGAGAAAGTCTAAGTAATTTCCCTAGTCATTCAGCTGGTGAGGCAAGGATGGAATCAGGATTTGAATCTAGACAGTCTGGCTCCAGTGTCTAGACTTCAACCTCTGCACAGTGCTGCCTATCTCCAGCACATTCTAACTGTAATTATTTTAGTCTCTTGTGAAGTCCAGTTTTGTTGTCTTACCTTAGTGACAAAGGCAAATATTCCTTGTTTCCTCTCAAGAAATATTTATCCCTTCCTACTCATCAATACTTTCTCCCCAGCTTCCTAGCTCAGTGAGTTACTTTTTTCCCCCTAAGATTTCTCAGAACATAAATTATTTTCAGTTATTGTCTAATTGATTTTATATATTAAATTCACAGTGGTAATATAAGCAGTTATATTTCACATCTGTACTGTTCACATTATTTAAGACAAAATAACTCATTATGTAAACATGTTTGATTTATAAATGATGGAACGAATAGCTTGATTAGAAATATATATTTATTCAACAAGCCTTTTTGATATCTGTTTTACAGAGATAAACAACCCAATTCTTTTTAAATTCAAGTACAGGACAGGGAATCCAGCAAAAGATGTAGTCTAAATGTGGTCCTCAAACATTGTCTTGCTCTGCATCTACGGTGAGAAAAGAAACATAAAAGAGTTGTAGGGTTTCTTCAGAAATATTCCCTCAGTTGAATCTGAGCAGTGAGTGTGAGCTAAAGCTGGGGTTAGCAAACTTTCTCTGTGAAATGTTAGATGCTAAATATTTTGGCTTTGCAGGCCATATGGTTTACGTCATAACTACTTAACTCATGATAGCAGCCATAGAAAATAGATATGAGTGTGGATCTGTTCCAATAAAACTTCATTTATAAAAATGTGTTGGGTTAGATTAGGCAGGAGAATCATAATAGTTGGCCCTTGAAATGAAGGAAACCAATTAGCTGTGATGTGAAATGTTGTCTATTATTGCTGGCTATCCCACAAACAAACATTAATAAAACTTATTGACTTTTCTTATAATGGAATGAATATCTTAAATTGGATACCCCACCTACAGGGTAAGTACCATTCTCCAGTTTTCTCTTTGTGTGAGAATGTGCCATATAAATTGTCTCAGATCTAGGAAAAGACTTGTAAAGAATTTTAAATTTAGAAGAACATTTAGGGAGCAAAGTCAATGGAGTATGATGTTGATCATGGCATGTGATTTCTTACCTATGCTGCAGGGGGCAGTGTACTCAGCAATAGCGGACTCACCTAAGAAATATTAGGTGAAAGGAGAAACAAAAAACATCTATGAACAAGAGGCCATATTGAATCTATTTACTTTACTTTTGGTGAAAAGTATATCATATCAGGATTGTTAAAACTCTATTCAAATAGGCCAGAGTTGAACAGGATAGCTAACATATTTATTACCCCATTCCCCCCGCTCCCCCCACCATCAGGAGTGGAGGAGGGGGATTGAAGACTGTTTAGATAGTATTCAAATTTTAAATTCTTAGGAAGATGACCATTGTTGCTCTCTTTTTTTCTTGTAGCTTTTTCTTTCATGAACTCTCTGCTTATACTCACTTTATCCAGCTTGCTTCCTGAATCCCTTTTCTAAGATTATTGCTCTAGCCTAAAATGCTTTTGTTATTATTTTTTAGAGAAAGTGGGAGAGGGAAAGGCAGAGAGAAATGTAGATGTGAGAGAAACACATCAACAATTGGTTGCCTCCTGAATGCGCCCTGAAGGGGAGGAGCCTGCAACCAAGGTATGTGCCCTTGGAGGGAACCAAACCTGGGACCCTTCAGTCCACAGGCCAGTGCTCTACCCACTGAGCCAACCGCGTAGGGCTCTACTATTTACTTTAGAAGGTGTACTTAACCATAAGGATCCAACTCAGATCTTTCTTCCTCTGTCTTTTTTTCCTGTTTGTCCATATTAAGCACTAGTCTTCTGTGGTATTTTCACTTCCCCAATTTCTTATCCCTTAGCTTGGTAACACTCATTTATCATTTATCATTTAACTGTCTTTTCTGGTTACATTATCTTTCCATGTGTACTAGGATCTTTATGTCTCTAAACTATTTGAGAGCAGTCACAAAATATCTTTCTTTGTAAATTCTTAAGTTTCTGACTCAATAAATATTAATTGATAAATTTGTTTGTAGGTGGTTTCTACAGTATATAGCTTGGAGGAAAGGGACAAATAGATATAATATTGATTGAATGGTCTAAAACCAGGGTTATTGTCATCTATTTCTTGGTTTTACATTGAGACTATTTAATTGTCTCAGTTTTCTCTCACTTACGTGTCTCATAGTAATCATAGACTTTAACAATCGCTGGTTTTAGGTCTCTTACTGGGATGTCTTGCAGAACCGTGAAAGAAAAGCTTAGTGTCTGAGCTGTCACCTAAAAGGAAAAGTGGGAGTAATAAAGAGGTTAGAAATCCTCTTCTCTCTTCTTTGAGTAAAACATATTCTTTATTGTTCTCTGACTCTTCTTCACCTGGATCTTCTAGGTAAGCAAACATTTGTGGATGCCAAGATGGGTTTAGAAGGCAACTTTGGGAACTCTTTACAATGAACAAAATCCCCAAGATATTCTCCTAAACAACAGAGACAACCCATATGCTCCTGTAGTCCTCTGTACGAAATTAACCGAGTCTATGTGAATGTGTTTTAAGATGCAGAGACTTGTACCACCTGTAGTTATAATACAAAACTATTTTTGTGTGGTTAGATAAAACATCCCCTTTGATTTGCTATTGACTTTGAAGATACTCATGAGATCTACATTTTATTATATATAGTGATATATTTATTAGAATATTAACAGTATTAGTAATCAACCACAGTGGTGTATTTTTTTCTTTTTGGTGGGTCTTTAAAATAACACACATGTTAGACATTTATTCTGTTGATTTTCTACTGGAAATCATAGAAATATTCATATTCCAATTGTAACATAATTAAAAAGGGAGCAGACATTCTATGGATTTAAAAGGAGATTTTCCTTTTATTCTCTTTAGCATAGATTAACTTTTTGGAAGGATGTTACTAATTATTGCTTTCCTTACATTACTTATCTTCTATTGACAAGACCCACTTAGAAAGTCAACCGATGTATATAGTCTCAGCTAAATGCCAGAGCTCTCACCTGTTCCACATAAATGATGACATGGTTATTGTTCACTTCTGTCCTGCTCACATGGTTAGATCTTTCAAGCTGAAAAAATTAGAGAACTCAAAAAGTTAGACAATAGATATGAGAACACTGAGACCTAGAGCAGATTATAGAAAGGGACAAATGTTTATTCTTTAAATAACGTGAGGGCTAGAATGCCTATGACTCATCTTCATGATTAAACATCAAGGTACATTAGCTATACAAAAGTTGGGTGAGTGGAAGGAATCACATATGCAAACAGGTTTCAACGTTGTCATGTCTTGATTGAAAAAAATCACTTGGAATTCTATCAAGAGAAGGAAGCCAGCTATTTTCAGGACAGGATTTTCATCATCCTTCAATATTCAAGTAACATGTTAGACTCTCTGGCATCTTTGCTGATTCAAGCTCACATTAGTTTTATCATTGCCAAATTTTGTGTGTGCATATTAGTTACTTTGGTATTTAATCATAGTCTGTTTTTCTTGCTTGTCATTTTATTGTTTCATGCCCATGTGCTTTCAGTTCCTAACTGGACCATGAGTGGCCTAAGGATAAGATATTCCCTTGTAGTTCTCTGGTATCACACAGGTCTCTTAGCTTAGAGCCAAATAAATAGTTACTGAATTTAATTTCATGGGTTTGGGGAAAAACAATTTTTGAGGCAGGATGATATGGATAGAACTTTCTATTGGTATGGTCTCATTTGAAGATACATAACATCCTTTTGTATGGGATCTACCTAGGCTTAAAACACACCTACCATTTTTACCGTTGGTTTCAAGGGAATAAAACCAGATACCATTTTCACATCAACAATCACCATATTGGAGACAGGGCGGCTCCCTCTGTAACTGTAGTGTCAGAGAAAAAAAGGAGTTAGAATTTATTATGTGAAAGAAAGCCAAAGTTCCTCTTTCAAGACCCACCAAAAACCTGTCCATCTTCATGAAGTTTCCCCTAAGATTATGACCTACAGAACTCTGTGTTTCCTGGACATGTATGATATCAATATACATCAGATGTATAGCTTACTAAAATCATAGATATTCAAGGCTTAGTCCCACATGATCAAAACAGAATCTTTGGGAGTGGAGTTTGGTAATCTGCTTTTGTAACACATCTTCAGGTTTTGGACATTCTACCTATACTACTCATTTGTGATTTAATATATCTTACTTTTATATTTTTAGTTAATTTAAATGTAGCATGAATGCTTTATACTTCAATTAAATTTATGTTTAATAATTGGGTTGGCTGTCTGAAATATCATTTATTTTTTAATATTAATGTCATTAGTATTAGATACAAAGCAATATAATTTGGGCAATGTTTTCTTAGGACTCCTGCAAAGTTTTTGATGGCTCATGATAGGGCAACATCTATATTTTATATGTCATAAATACTTTGTATTTAATATTAGCATTTATTACTTATTCATTTGATTAGAAAAAACAAAGTAAAATATAATTATTCAGAAGAGATAAGAAAGATTTACTTCAACTTAAGGTAAAAATATTTGAAAAAATAATTTATTATTTTGCAATGAGTTAAATAAAAATTAGTGTAAATGATTACTAGGAATTAATTAGAACATTTAAAAAATTTACATTTTTTATTAAACATATTTAAAACTAGACTTTGCTTTCAGATGCTTTTAAAGCATTATTAAAACTTTAAGACAAAACATTTACTAGAGAAAAAGATAATTTCATAATACATAGCTTCCAAATATATTAATGATTGATGGTTCCAAGTAGCTTTTAGACTCAGGATTAACTGACTCAGTCAGAAGGTCTTACCTGACATTCACTGAGATCTGGAAGCTGGTATGGGCTTTGGGTCCATCACAAGTTTGGGGCAGAGTTTGTACCTCCAAGGCAAATGGGGAATCCTCCTTTTCTGGAAGGATATTATATTTCATGGATGTCTGTGGAACACCAAAGACACCATCAGTTTTTCTTTTCCTGGGAAGCCTCTCTTTTTCATCATTTAACTTCTCCAGATTTGCCCTTTACTTGTCCAGGAAGCAAAGAGCAGAGCTTCCTTTCAGAGGAGAGTTTCAAGTTGATTTTTTCCAATATAATTCTAGAGTCTCACCTGAAGATACACACATCTTTCCCCAGTCACTGTTATGGTGTATTCCCCAGGTATCTCTGGCAATGAGACCTGCTGCAGCAACAGGAGGTTGTTGCTATCCACTTGGAGTTTTGTGGAAAAGGTTTTTGAATCACGAATGGTCACTTGTGCAGTTTTCTGAGTCCTGATGAAAGTGGCTGCTCCATATTTAGACAGGGCATGGAGAGCTATCACTGTGTCCTGGAAGAGATGAGGGGAGAAACCACACCTAAAGAGTAAGTTTTTGATGGCTGGGATTTTCCTCAAAAGTCTGTGTTAGCTACCACAAGGGAGTGATGGCTTTCCTCCCCTAAAGTATACACCTGCTAATTGCTTTTTCTTTTTCTCTGCCTTTAAGGCATAATCATAGTCATGCTATAGTTTCTCCAAATGAAATAAAAGACTATTAATGCAAATTAGATTCACAATTTAATTTCACTTGTTGTTGGTATTGTCCTAAGGGACTATTTCTATGCCCAGAAATTGTGCTCTGCTCTTTCTCATCAATACTTCTCTTTTTTATATCTTTCAAAGAATAGGTTTAAAATTAAAAAGTTAAGTCAAAATAGTGACTGCCATTTACTAGACAGTAATTTAGATAGAAGAATGACAGAAATTTGCTGAGAATAAAAAGTGTAGTATCAGACAACTTGCACTTTCCCAAGTTTCTTTTCCCCTTTATATATTCTCCACCCCCCCAACTCACTGCCTTATTGAATTTTATTTTTATTTTTTAATCTTTATTGTTGAAAGTATTACATATGTCCCCTATCTCTCCCATTGACCCCTTTTAGTTCGCACCCGCTCCCTGCCCTCCACTCCCTGCCCCCCGCCCCCTGCCCCAGGCCTTCACTATCCAGTTGTCTGTGCCCATGAGTTATATATACATAGTTTTACATATATAACTAGAGGCCTCATGCACAAAATTCTTGCAAGGGCCTTGGCCCCGGCTCCCTGCCCACAGCCGCAGCCACGGTCGGGGGCCTCTTCCACCTCTGCCTCCTCTGCCTCGGCCCCCATCCTCTGCGTCTATGTCCGGAAGGAAGGATGTCTGGAAGGCCATTTGGTCTAATTAGCATATTATGCTTTAATTATTATAGATATCCCTAAAAAACAAAGTTACATTATGTACATCCAAAATACTGAAAGATGTGTAAGTGGAAATCCAGATGGTTAACACAATCATTTTTGCACTCAATAAAACATTTCCAAAAATGTGGTATGAAAAAAATAATTTAAGAGCTTTAGCTTAAAAACAATCAATTTTAAGGAGGGGGTGGGGTGTAAGAAGACAGGTCTCAGGGCAGTTAGGAAGGACTGGAGAGTCTGAGTTCCTTGGAGTGATTAAATAGAACTTCTTATTCATTCTATGAAGATTCATTCTATGAGATCTATGTGGTCACTTTCCTTTTAATCACACAATGTTCTGGTTCATCTTAGAGAGTTTCTTGCAGGATTAACACTGATTCTCAACCAGGGTTGATTTTGCCTTGTCTTAACTGTGAGTAGAATGCTACTGGCATCTAGTGGGGAGAGTCCAGGAGGCTGTAAGACATCTTTCAATGGCCAGGGCAGCCCCTCACAATAATAATTATCTGGAACAAAATGTCAACAGTTTTGCTATTCAGAAACCCTATTCTAGAGTGTGGCTATTGACCGATGAGTGCTAATGATATAATATAGCTTTAGAGAGGAATGGTGCTTATGGTTAAGTAGCCAAATTGATGGGATAATGCAGGGCTTAGTGAAATTGTTTGGGGGAATGACTTGGGTCCTTTTCCTTTTTCTACTACTGTTTTTAGATATTTCTAAATAATTCTTCCAAGATTTAATGATTCACCTTCTCTTTTCTTTGTAACTGTTCTGTTTTCAAATGGGCCAACTGTCAAGTGAACCTGGAGGAGAAGACTATATGGGAACCACAAACCTGGGTGGAGGAGAAACCCCCATAGGAATTCTGTTGCTTTATGATCCACTTCACAATGTGCAATGCAGAAGTCAGGTCCTCTAAGCTTGGGGCAGGCTGGGCAGTGAGGTATGCTAGGAGCACGTAGGACGTCATCTCCACCTCAGCAGAGGGAGCCTGAGGTTGGTAAAAGTACCCTTCTGGTGCCCTGGTTTTTTGAGGTCGTTCCCAGTGGACGGTGTTGTCTTAAGGGTGAGAAAAAGAGAGAATTATAACTATTGGTAGATAATAAGTGAATATATATTCATATCATATGGAGTTGAAAATAATAGAGAGATGAAGTAAGGTCCTCACTGTCATTTCCATGCTGAACTCAAGTTTAGTCCTCTGGGCCTAAGACCAAGAATATTGTTGGAGGAAGAAGCATAGTGCACACTTGTTAATCTCTTAAATATATATATATTTTTAATTGAAAGAGAAACAAGACAGAGTTTTCTTGCTATTTGTGATATTTCCTGGGAATTGGAGTACGAATTGGATATAAAGCCTACCTATTACATTCCTCCAAAGAGAACATACAGATGGCCAATAAACATACGAAAAGATGCTCAACATCACTAAGCATCAGAGAGATGCAAATTAAAACCACAATGAGATATCAACTCATACCTGTTAGAATGGCTGTCATCAATAAATCAGTAAAGAAATGTTGACAAGGATGTAGAGAAAAGGGAACAGTCATGCATTTTGGATGGGAGAGAAGATTGATGCAGCCACTTTAAAAAACGGTATGGAGAGTATGTACCCAAATAAACCCAAAACACTAATTCAAAACAATATAAGCACCCCTATGTTCATTGTAGTGTTATTTACAACAGCCAAGATATGGAAGCAACCTCAATGCCCATCAATAAACAAGAGGATATAAAAGCTGTGGCGTACATATGTACATAATAGAATATTATTTAGCCACAAAAAAATGCAATTTTACCATTTGTGGCAGCATGGACAGACCTAGACAGTATTATGCTAAGTGAAATGGTCAGAGAAAGGCAAATATTGTATGATTTTACTTATATATGGAATCTAAAGAACAAAATAAATGAACAAACAAAATTGAAACAGACTCATAGATACAGAGAACTGACTGATGTTTGCCAGAGGGGAGGGAAGTTGTTCTTGGTGGTGGGGGAGCTTCTGAAAAAAGTGAAGGGATTAAGAACTACAAATAATTAGTCACAAAATTGTCCTGGGGAAGTACAGTATAGCATACGGAATATGGCCAATATTGTAATAACTATGTACGGTACCCGAAGAATGCTTGAAATATCAAGGGGACCACTTTGTAAAGTATGTGATTCTTTAACTACTATGCAGCACACCTAAACTAATATAAATGATATTGAATATAAACTGTAATTGAAAAAATAAAACCTACTTATTGAGCTCATAGGACTTTTGTAATAATCTGGCAAAAGAGATAAAAAACACTTTGAAAATGTTATTGCAATTTCTTTAGTATGGCTTTTTGTTGTACCATTTATCATCCAAGCATGTAGGCACTTACCCTATAAAAATATATATATTTGTTTAATATATTGCTTTCAGCAGGTAGAGATAAAATTCCATAATTTACCTGCAGCATTATGTATGGTATAACATATGCAATCCCAGAGAATATATTTTTCTAAAAGGTGGTTTGACCTCACAACAGATAATTTGGCTAAAGAATTACAAAGCTAAAATTTTACAGAGGAAGGGAGAGGGATAGAGAGTTAGAAACATCGATGAGAGAGAAACACCGATCAGCTGCTTCCTGCACACTCCCTACTGGGGATGTGCCTGCAGCCAAGGTACATGCCCTTGACTGGAATCAAACCTGGGACCCTTCAGTCCCCAGGCCGATGCTCTATCCAGTGAGCTACACCGGTTAGGGCTCTCACCTTCTTTCACAGCTTCTTCATCCAGAGAGCTCAGTATTTCTCCCCTCCTATTTTTGTTTCCCGCTAGGGCAAAAGCGTAGGCCAACAATGCCTTGGTGTAGATATGGCTTCCAAGGGGCCCCTCCTGTGCTGTATTCCAGGCAGACTCCAGGCAGAGCAGGGCCATTTGAACAACAGAGTTCTGTGAAGACAAAGAGGTGCTGGTGTCAAACTAGGATAAGTAGAGGATAGAACAGGTTCTGAGTTGGATATTGCTTGACAGATGTCATTCATGGTTTTCAGCCAGCCAAGTAGACAGCCAATATTCACTATATTTAAGCTGAGAAACATTTTAAATTTCTTAACTTTATATTTAGTTTTCAAAAAATAAAGCCAGGGAACATGTGTTTTTAGGATTAGCTTTGGTACATAGTCCAAGGGCATTATTGGGCAAGTATAAATTCCCTTTAATGGAATTGACTGAAGAGCTCATCTGGCTGAGAAATGCCTCATCATTGAGCAAAATGAAAGCAGAGACTTGGCTTTTAGTGCAGGGGTGTTCCAGGCATCAGGCCTGTAATTTTCATAGTAGGAAGTGGGACTGAGGTGAGTCTTACAGTGACTGGAAGACCACTCTCCAGAAGAGCAATAGTGATGTAGACAGAGAGGGTCACTTCGTCTTCCACTCCTCCCTGTAAATGACAGAGAGGGGTGGGGGAGAAAGAGAGAGAGAATTTTGATTAATTGTACTTGATTAATTGCACTTCTAAATTTTAGTATATTCTCTGGTCTTTAATGCAACTTGTCTTCAGTATCTTCTCTATCAAGCAAAGTAACACCCTCATGCAAAGCACCATTTCTTTCTTCTTTAGAATTTTCAGGTTTATAACTCCTTCCTAGATGCCCTCTCACATTACCTAAGACTTCATCTTTGCAATTTTCCTGTGCCTTCTTTCTCCTATCACGTTTGGAACAATGTTAATATTGAGGTATCATGGGGTTCAGCATAAGTACTCACAGCACTTCACCTTAATGGCATTGTTGAGCAGTGACCCAGAGTTTCTGAAACAGCCATTCTCCTTCTGCCTCTGGGAGAGCCAGTCGAGGGCTTGGGTAATATGTGCTTCATCAATGAAGATGTAGCTTTTAGCCTGGGCAAAGGTCTGCAGTACAAAGGCTGTGAGCCTGAAGGATGAAGAAGAGCAGGCTTCTGAGACCATTTATTCTCATACAGCACCTTAAAACTCTGTTTTGCACACATAGACTCCCACTCTCCCCCAATTCACCCTCATGAAAATGAGCTATTACTGAGAGTTTGGAAACTTTTTCTGTGAATGAAAGAGCTATTACTGAGAGTTTGGAAACTTTTTCTGTTAACTTGTTAGCTTCTTTCTATTTTTTTTTTCCTGTGGCATGTTGTTAAATGTCTTACCAAGGATTCTTGCTTCCAAAAGCATCACTTTAGAGATTTAGGTTTCTCCTAGTTTTCTTGGGGGTGGTTAAGATATTTACTCTCATATTCTGGACTTTCTGTATTTATTTGTTTCCATTGATTTCTTCCTTTGTCTTCTGCAACTAATGTTCTATTGGTCTGTCTTCTTTTACTGGAACAGACCAGTAAATATTTTTCTCTACATCATCCTGCCTCTCCACTACTTTTCAGGTTGTTGATTTCCTCTTGTTTTCTTGTATGGTCATATTTAGTTCAGATAGATAGATAGATAATTAGATGAATGGATGATAGATGGACAGATGAATAGATGAATAGATGGACAGGTGGATAAATGAATAGATTGATAAATAAAAAATAGATGGATGGATAAATAGATAGATGATAGCTAGATAAATACATAGAGAGGATCATCTAGTAGAAGGTGGTAAAGTATGCACTGTGAGTAATGGCTGCCATTTTTCTAGCCTGTTTCTAGCATCTCAGCACTGTTCAACAATTTATGAGGGCAAATAAGAAGTTTGTAATGGTTCCTTAGCAACATGAGAAAGAGAGGCTTGGTGTGTTGATATAAAAATAATCAACTTCAAATGTTCTCAGTTTTGCCATTTATTAGTTGTTTATACTAGAGACATTTATTCATCCATAATGAACATCATCTCCTCTGTAAAATGAAGCTAATAGCTCTCATTTCACATGATTATTGTAAGAATTAAGTAGGCGAATAGACAGAGTGGGGCAAAAGGAGGTTTACAGTAGTGAGTAAGGAAAACGCAGTTTATTCTTGTATTATTTATTAATTATTGTGTTATTTTCCATATGAACAACTGTAAACCTACTTTTTGTCCCACCCTGTATGGACAGGCTTTGAACTCGTAGTTGAAACTCAGAATGATTTTCTTTTCTTACCAAGTGTTGCCCTCATTTCTGCCAGACTGATCCCCGAAGGCGCTATAGGAACCATCTTGATGTTTGTAGTTCAGCTGCCTCTGGTAACCTGGAATGAAAGTATCATAGAAAGGCAGGATATCTCCAGGTGCAGGCTGACAGTGTCCAGACTCCCCTGAGGTTTGATGGCTCATGGGTAGGATCTGTCATAGCGTTATGGCTATCACCCATATGTCAAAATGCAGCATTGTATCAGATGGTGGGAAACTTTTCATTTCTACACAAATCACTGCATTAGCTTGATCACTGGTGATAAAATGCCAGCGTAGTGGGGAAAAAGCCCATTATTAGTAGAGTAACACAGTAAACTTTTCTTTGTCTCACTTACCACTGACGAGATAGGCAATGGCCTTAGACTTGATCTCTGAAGTCAACTGTTGGGTTTCACTCAGATAGTTCAAGACATAGATGTTAGGAGCAAAAAGGACCATGTTTTGCTCTCCGCAGCCATAGGGCATCTGGAGGAGATTCTGTGTATTTTGCATAGCAGAACCTAGTATGTCACCTGGGGAATGTGAGATTAAATGTCAGAGTTATTTAAGTTCATATGTAGCCAACATTAGTGAACTCCAATGATGTTCATATTTAAAGTCAGATACTTTATCATTTGGATAAGGGAACATTTATATTTAGAAAAAGTGAGCCTTCCAGGATCCTATATAAATTGACACATTAATAAGTTGATATTTAGAACACAAATATATAGATAAAATGTATGGCTGGCAGTTCTTTTGTCACAGTTTTCTAGATGCAAGATAACTCACCCAAAACTGAGAAAGAGGCTCTGGCAGATTCTTTGACCACATTTGGTGGGAGCTTCAGGGATAATTGCTCAGATATTTCGGTACCTTTGGGAACAAATAATCTATATGAAAGGATGGCATTCCTTATAGTAGTATAATCTAGTGGTTACTTAACCTCTTCCTACTTTAACTTGTACATGTGATGATTCAGTGAAATAATACATATAAAATGTGTGAATTAGAACAGCCTTGGCAACATCTTAAATCTCAATGCATGTGAACCGTTATTATTATTGTTATCATTACATTTAGCAATAGCATTATTATGCCTCCTTGAGGAACCCTGTGTCCAAGGAATAAGAATTTTGACTTATGATGAGATTACCTTTAATAGTCTAGCTTTTCTTGGCACAACAAAACTTCCCAAGTCCCTTTCCCTCTGGTTTTATCATCTTCTGTGTTGCTGTATGCACAGTAGCTCTCTTAAAGAAGGCTAGGAGCCGACGAGGATCTAGAGTTTTCAGAATTAATTGTATAATTCTCTGATTTTGTTGGTCTCTAAGGTTAAGCCTTAAATTGGTCCTTCTTAAGTGTCAAGAACAGTGTTTTATATACTATGAACATAGATCTAGTGCTAATGTGCCAGTATAATTTACAAGCTACACAATTTAATGTTTTTTAATGATATGGTAAAATCCTGATGCAAAGTGGAGTTCTTTTTTTTCTATGGAAAACAAGTTTTTAGTAAGATGAGCAGAAAGTGCCATATGCTTTATTACCAACTATTTTTGAGAATATTAACTGTGATTCAAACTTGTCATAACTCTGCTTTCTTTCTACCTCGTGCTGTGGCACTCTAAGCCTTTGCATCCTGCCTCATTAATGAGCAGCCACTGGCTATGGAGATAAAGGCTGAAAGTGAACCAAGCAAGCCCTAGTAGTAGCCTTGCCTGTACCCACAAGCCACATTAACCTGCTCTCTTGGGCTCAGTGTTCCTATTTGTAAAATATGTACAAAGAAATACTTAGTATTATGCCAAATTGAATGGAACATTCTGAAAATTATGGGAGATAACATGTAAGACTATGCATTGTAACTTGAAATACATACCCTCGGGAGGCATTGTTCTCACAATGATTATGAAGATTGACTCTTACCTGAAGTACAGGCCATAGAATTGAAAGTCTTTTCTTGCTCAATACCTTCAGGCTTGGGTGAAAAGAAAAAAAAAAAGTAGAAAAGAGGGCTAAGTATCGAGGTGACTAAAGGACAACCATAGATTGTTTACTTTGAAGGGTGGGGTTTACACTAAATGATGCTATCAAATCCTACTTGTTAGCAAATTAGTGTAAATGTGTAAAACATTGAACAACAAGGGATATTGGCTGAGGAGAAAATGAGGGATACTAAGGGCAGAGAGCCAAATGTAATAGGTGAGAGAAATATTTGACTTCTATAGGAGAGGTAGAGATCAGAAAAGGAAAAGGCTCCTAATAATGTTTTTTAAAAACTATGCAATAAGTTAACAAGTTTACATAGCAAGGTTTCTCATAATATGTGCTTTAAGGATAGGAAATTCCATTAGTCTTACCAGATGAATTCTGTATGATACTAATTATCCTTTGTTACCTCAAGAATGTCCATACTGTTTTTTTTTAATTGTTATGGCCTCAGAAACACATGTCAAAGTAATACAGACTTACTTCCACCAATAGGGTTTTGATGACTGTGTCTTTCCTTCCAATCTCAGGGACTTCAGCAACCTTATTTCCACAAAGCTCTAGGGACTTCACTGCCTGGGCGCTCACCGAGAAGTTCATATTCCCTAAAACAAAGAATGTAGAGAAAATGAGTATCCATCTTTTTTTTTTTTTAAAATATATTTTATTGATATTTTACAGAGAGGAAGGGAGAGAGATAGAGAGTTAGAAACATTGATGAGAGAGAAACATCGATCAGCTGACTCCTGCACATCTCCTACTGGGGATGTGCCCGCAACCCAGGTACATGCCCTTGACCGGAATCGAACCTGGGACCTCTCAGTCTGCAGGCCAACGCTCTATCCACTGAGCCAAACCGGTTTTGGCATGAGTATCCATCTTGACAGTAGTCCAAGGCATCCCTAATAGCTGAAAATGACTCTATGCTCTGCAATCACCTCAAAGGCTGCACTTTAACCTTACAATGCACTGGAATAGGAAAGGTGAAAACAAAATAAAACAACAAAAAACCCAAGGCTAATGTACACTGAGAAACCAATACCCAAGTATAGTGATTGTGAGGCCCAGGTGTTGTGGGAATAGCGGTAGGGTACCATTGTGGATAGAAAAAAAAAAAAAGAATATGATGTAAGCAGTATTCAGAGATCCATTGCTGACTGGAAAACATTTGGGGCGGGGGATGTCACTCACCCAGAGTTTTAGGAGTTATTTCCCAAGACAAAGTTTGCCGCTCATTTTCACAGATGCAGTAGGATTCTTTCCCCTTTTCATTTTGGGCTGCCAGGAAGGCTGTAGAGGCTTGCAGTTGCACACTGACCTATCACCCACAAGTGGGGCATAGAGATAAATATTATCAGAATATGGAGAGACACTGAGTCATGGAATTGGGGCCACATGTGAGGTGTTGAACTAAATTGGGATTTAGAAAAAGACTATGAATTTCACATGTGCTTTGAGAAGCATGAAAATGGCAATGACATATATCAAGACTGATTATTTATTAGGAGGAGCTGGCATTTAGATTATATATCTGACATATGCAGATATTGCCTCTGGGAGAAGTACCTACTGGTTCCTACCTGGTGGTTCTTAACTCCTGTGTAGATTTTCTTGCTTCCTCCCTCTCTCCACTTCCTCTAACATATATTACATGTCTATTCTATATAAGACATAGAAAATTTTGAAGGAGAGGATCCTGACCTAGAGGATATTGTATTATAAAGGAGATAATCTCTACACAAAACTATGCCATAATTTACAAAGACAGAAGTGCTATAAGAAAAGTTAAAAGTACATATTGTGGGAGTTTAGAGATGAAGGCTTGAAGAACAACACCAACAAAATTAAGAAAACTAAATTTTGTGTCAGCATCAAGAATTTTCCCACCAAAGAGCCTGTCTTGTGTCAGGATTCAGCAAGGTTCAGGAAGAAAAAAAAAGATATGTGGATTGGAGATCTGTGGTTTTAGTACCTGTAGCTCATATGTTATTGTGTTATCTTTCTGATCATGTCCCATCTTGCTTAGCACTATTTATTTGCAATGCTAGCACCTAATTCCAAGAATTATCCATAGTCTTGGGAACAAATCATGAGCTGAATGACCAAAGTTCCAATTACCCTTTCAATTCACCCTCATTTTTCTTACCCGGATGCAATTGGGAAGGTAGTTTAGGACAGTAGCCTTGAGTGTGAAGGCCTCTCCACGGATCACAGAGTAGGGCATTGTGAGTTCCACAAAGAAGGGCTGGAAGGCTCGGAGAGTGGTGGGAAGAGAGAAACCAAGTCCAGTGTCATTGGACAGGCAGAAGGCTCCTGCCTTCCACTCAGTGATGGTATCAGGGACTGTTACTCCTACTTCGGCCACGCCCGATGAGCTGGCGAAGATGACAATAGGAAGAACAGAGAGTAAGTAGGTAAATGTCTTTTTTCAAGTGAGAATCAATATGTGTAAAGGGACTGTCAAGAATGAAACCATTAAAGGGTTCATGCGGACACTAGATTATGTACTGGGGACTGAGGTGGGAAAACAAAAGGGACTAAATGGTGTCGCTTTCCCTTATCTGTCTAGAGCCACATCACACATGCATATATTTTAAATAGAAATATTTGAATTTGATTCAGTTTGGTCCATAAGCTGTCCTCACTATTGTCCAATTTCATAAAGCATATTTAAGATTCATGATCCAACAAATAAACTATCACTCTTATGCAGTCTGATTTCTTTATGTGCTTGATCCAATCTTGTTTATGCAAGACTCCTGGATGGCATTAGGTGGTATAGAATTTGAATATTCTATAGGCAGTCTTAGGAATAATTATTTTAGACTTGTTGCTCTGAGAGACAATTATACTAGTGAGCCCATACAATAAAAGTGTTTTTCTTAGGTCTTGTATGGTAGGAGGTTAAGACAATTATTTAGAACTTTTCAGAAGGCTTATCTTCAAGTTGAAAATGCTGGGCGGGTCACATTGCCTCACCCAGAGCAAAAAGAGGAGAGAAATGTTACTTACTCCACCATTGCCAGCTCCCAGATCCAGGTCTCAGGGAAATAACTCCGCACTGTTTCAGAGACTGGCTCTGGACTTGGCATATTATTTCCAGGTTCTGCAGCAGCTGCACCAATTGGAGGAGAATACAACATCCCTGCACCTCCAAAACCTAATAAAAGAAAATAATAATCTAGTTAAGGGAAAAGCATTCATTTATTTTATGGTTCATCTGTAAGGCTTAGGAGAACAAATTTTCCATTTTACTGCTCTGATTGTCTCCTGAGAGTTGTAGAACTTTGGAGATAACTTGTTGAGTGCACATTCTTTGAGCAGAGAGGAATGTTTTTTACAGGTAGAAATTCCATGTATGTGAATGGAGGCTGGAAGTACAAGATCACTTGCAGATGATTTTATGGTTTGTAGGGGAAATGATAGGTTTTCAAGGTCTGAGAGTACTGTTTCCTTCATAGAAAAACTGAACAGAAAAGGTAAAACTCTCTTTAGATAACATGAGTGGCGGCTATATTGAAAATTGTTTGAATTACCACTAAAGTGAATAGAATTTAAGAATATCAATTCTGTGTACTATATTGAAGCTTGTAAATTTATTGCTCTCTTGATAACAAGGCTAGATTTTTAGATTTTATTCTATTTATTTTATGGAAAGGAGAAATGAAGAATTCAAGATGACAAAAAGAGAGATATTTCCATTTGGAATAGCTCTATGATCAAGATAAAGAGTATTTACAAAAGGGAAAGGGTAGATAAGCTCTCACCTTAGAGCAGCGGTTCTCAAACTGTGGGTCGTGACCCCTTTGGGGGTCAAACGACCCTTTCACAGGGGTCGCCTAAGACCATCGGAAAACACATATATAATTACATATTGTTTTTTTGTGATTAATCACTATGCTTTAATTATGTTTAATTTGTAACAATGAAATTGGGGGTCACCACAACATGAGGAACTATATTAAAGGGTCGCGGCATTAGGAAGGTTGAGAACCACTGCCTTAGAGCCTTTGAAAGGCAAAATAGTGAAATAGTTAAAAAACATAGGTCTGCAGTCAGAGTACCTGATTCAATTCCCATTTTCCCATTTACTGACTTATTGGCTGAGCTACTTAACTTTTCTGGGTTCAGTTTTTCCATTTCAAAAATTATTATAACCACAAAACGAAATGGTACTATGTGAGGTGATGGAGTATTAGCTAATGCATCAATGGTAATCATTTCACAAAAACATATCAAATCAACACATTGTACACCTTAAACTTACACAATGTTATATGTCATTGATATCTCAATAAAGCCAGAAAAACAAAAAAGGAGAAAATGGTGATAAAAATACATTCTTACCTTAAAAGATTTCTGTAGGAATTAAGGAAATCTATCTACTACCATCTATCTTTATTCTATCTATCTATCTATCTACCATCTATTTATCATCTATCTACCATCTATTTTTATTTTATCTATCTATCTATCTATTATTATCATCATCATCAATCATCTATCTATCATCATCTATCTATCATCTAATCTATCTACTTTTCACTTCTGTCTTGAAACATAATAAGCATTCCATAGGTATTTTCATTTACTCGAGTTGCTTTTTATGAATGCAACACTCTTCTAAATAGCCATTTAATTGGTTCTCTTTCTTCAAATCTTTGCTAAAATTTTACTCTCCTGGTAAGACATTCACAGGTCACCCTATTCTCTATTTAATTTTCCCCTTAGAATTTGTCACCTTCTAATAAACTATTTAATATACTTGCTTATTTTTTTATACTCCCCTTATGCCCATTAAAATATAACCTTTATACAATTGAAGATTTCTCTTAATATTTGTTATATGTCCACAAACTAGGTTAGTAAGTATTCAATCAAAATTTACTGACCACATGAATAATAACTTTCATATTTATAACTTAGGTCTTATGTTTCAGGCACTAATCATTTCTAACATTGTCCAACATGATTTTACGACCCTATTTGTATTAACCTTTTTCTCCCTCATTCTCTCTCTCTCTCTCTGGCTCTAGAAACAGTATTAAAGTTATTTTTTCCATATTTATTGTTCCCTGACATCAAACACTGAAGTTGCATGGTGACTTCCCAAACAGTCATGGGAATGGATTTATGTTCTTCAAATTATTTTCAAGAACTTTCACAAAATATTCAAGCTTTCTTAGCTCTTCCATTGCTGCACATACCTGAGTCATTTATATCTACTTATTTCAATCTTCTTTGTGTATTCATCACATTTTAGATGTGTTTTGTTTGTTTGTTTTGTTTTGTTAATCCTCACCAGAGGATATTTTTTCCATTGATTCTTAGAGAGAGTGGAAGGGAGGGGAAAGACAGAGAGAAACATTGATTGGTTGCCTCCCTGCACATGCCCTTGACCAGGGCCAGGGATCAAACCTGCAACCGAGGTATGTGGCCTTGACTGGAAATGCTACCTGGAACCCTTCAGTCCACAGGCCAATGCTCTATCCACTGAACCAAACCAGCTAGGTCTAGAAGTTATTTTTTTTCTGTTACATCATATGCCTGAAATTCTTTTCTCAGGAACTTCCAGCATATTTCCTTCTGCCTCAAACTTTTATGGTTTAAGCTCAAACTTCTTTCTGTATAATTTTCATGTTTATTTTCTTTTTCCTTAATCTCCCTCATTTATAAAGCATCTTAGTTACCTGAAAAAAATATTTCCCATTGCTAAGAAACTGTTTGGAATTGGTGCTATTTTTGAAGGTTATATTTGGAGAAAAACATGGTCCTTTAAAAGTGAGCTGACAGCATTGTTTTCTTTATGATAGGGCTTGTTTACAGATAGATATTAATATCACATGGTTAATTCGATAGGCTCAATGTCAAGGAACACAGAAAACAAATTTTAAACAATCAATATTCTTAATTTGTTTTGGTACATAATATTTATTTTATTGGGATTTTGAAATGCCCTAGAGTGCCTTTAGACACATTACTTTAATTTATATAATGAAGGATTTGAGGCTTAGAGGCTTAGAGAAAAGGCATTACAGGTCCACTTCACTCATAGAACCTCAGATTTATAATCCCAAACTCAAAAGATGTTAATCTTTATTAACAGACTAGAGGCCCAGTGCACAAAAATTTGTGCACTCAGGGGGGTCCCTCAGCCCAGCCTGTGCCCTCTCGCAATCTGGGACCTCTCGGAGGATGACCACCTGCTGGCTTAGGCCTGCTCCCCGGGGGATTGGGCCTAAGATGGCAATCAG